AAATATCTAGCGAAAATGGACCTCATTCTAATGTTATCTAAATTTTCCGGTCAGATAGGTCCGAAGCCCAAACGTTTTGTGTTCCATTCAACAATTTGACCGGTCTGGCCTTGTTAATGGAAAGCGCCCTAAGGAAATTTCCCATCCTATCCTCAAACTACAATACCAGGCTTAACTCGCGCGCAAGAAGCAGCGTGCCTCCTGCATCTCGGCACATACCTTCTATCTTATAAACTGGTACATTTTTAATCTGTCTTTCATCTGTCTTTCATGATGGATGAAAGCAAACTGAATCCATTTGTTCGTGTTGTTGCCAATTCACTCGAGTATATAATTGTGGTTGCCGTATTGTTGTAGATAACGAAACAAAACAGCCTCGAGATGTTTTTAGTTTTAATGTACTATTGAGGGTACCGATATTTTCAGTGTACGGCCGCAACCATATTTCATATCTAGTAAAAGCGAGATTATAGTTGTTTCTGAGGAGGCGAGCTTTTCGCAAACATGCTGCCTTAGGTTAATCAGATGCTTTTATATATCAACTTTGCGTTCACTTGAAAGGGAAAATCATCTAATAATTTGATTGTTCTTACGATATATAATAGACTAAAACATAAAATCAAAGCAAAGCAAAAAGCTTGGATAAAGACAATTGAAAGTCGAAACTAAGACGTGTCTATCGGTGCGTCACTTTGGGACGAACAAAGATTCATTTCGTTCTTTGTCTTCAACGTATATGAAATGTCATTGCTTTAAAATCCACATATTGACAAGGGCTTTATTTATTTTCAGAAATCTCTGGATGTGAAAATTGTCCTGCCAATTCTGATTGCGTGAGCAACCAAGGCACAAATGAATGTCAGTGCAAGTCAGGATACAGTAAGAACGACGCAGCTAACACGTGTGATGGTAAGTAGGTTTCCTTCTTTTACCAGCGTATTCATGTTTTCCAGCCGTTACCACAGGTTCAATTTTCTCCACAGTTATAGGCATTACTTGTAAGTAGCTTGAAAATGAAGAATGGCCTGAACAATTTATTCACAGCTCATCTCGTTTATAAGTTATCGGACATTTTGTATTGTTGTGTTATCACGTCATCAGTCGTGCTTAATATCTCCGAAATGGTTCAACGAAATTAAATGAAATTTGGTAGAGTTAGTGAATTCACCTTAAATTAAGCAAACATTTTAGAACGTTTATCTGGTTGACATATCAACATCTAGATTTCAGTTTCTCTCTTTCATTTTAGTAATATCTGCCATAAACACTTTGGAACGAAAGTCTTATTTAATTCAATAGTTTATATTCACCACGGCACCAAAAACATTAATAATAAAAAGAAATCACAATTTCTTGTCCGTTGGAAGCAATACATTGGACAAATAGACAGAGAGATCTGATCAGGGGCGGCGCTACAGGGTGTGTGTGTGTGTGTGTGTGTGTGTGCGGGAGGGGGGGGGGGGTGGAACACCCCACACACACACACA